GGCTCACACAGTGTAGGTCAGACTCATCTACAGTCCTGGCAAATTTCTTGTTGATCGGTGCAGCCGTTTTTGTGCTACGGTTGATCAAAAATCTCAGGAGAAAGAAAAAATAAAATAAAAAATAAAAAATAAACAGTATGAAAACAATATGACTCCCGCTTACGCTTCGCATGCGGGGGTCATAATAAACAACAAAATAACGATGGCAAATTATCTTGGTCCACTTTTTCACACACACCTCAAAGATATGTTTTCCCTCGAACATTCAGCGTTGATCCAGCGTTGCAGGACACAACCTCATTCTTCCTGTTGGTTTTCAGAATACCAGCAGTCACTCACTTAGATTAATGGAACAATCTGTAGTCTACATGTAATGCTACACACAGTTTGACTCAAACAGCAGATGGCATCAGGAAACCCTGAATGAATAAAGGAAATATAAATAAATTACATTAAATCCAGAAGACTTTAAATAAAATCACTGRTTCAGTCTGAGCTTCTCACAGTTCAGGTCCAACAGAATAAAACCTAGAATTTGTGGTAGGTTTTAAGTTTGTACCTGTGACTTATTGCTTCTCTCCAGTGTTCCCCGGAAAAATCCAACATGTTTCCTGACGACAACAGAGCCTGGATAAGTTCACTGTGGAGCAGGGTTTCCCCCAGGRAGGCTGGAAGACGGGGTTGATAGAAGTGAGGAAGCACTGTAATATTTTTATGGTGGGGGGTGAAAGGTGGAGTGGTGTGGTAAACGTTTCTAAAGATGGTCTCTCTCTCACGTCTGTGTCTTTCATTTAAAAGCAGGCAGGTGTGTGTGTGTGAGTGTGTRTGCATGCTGTGCGAGAGACTTGGAAGGTTTGGCGAGCGGACACACGAGTGAACCGCACAAACGATACAACACCTCCAGCAACAACTAGGATGTGTTCAGGGACTGCATCCTTCAAAGACCAGAGGAAAGTGGCTGTGAATTTGGACTGTCTAGACTTCAGCTTTATTGCCGCCCTTATCCCAGCRTATGTTCTGTGGCCTAGCAACCGTGACAACGCTAAACAGAAGCAAAAAATAGATTGAAACTAGCAAAATATTAATATAAGTTAACAACATTAACTCAGGGACATCTAAGGGACCGCCGTCCAAGCTTGTTTGATTTCTGACAATAATGATAAAAAACAAATGAAAAAAAGACTAAAGCATTAACAACACAACTGCTTTAAACTTTCTGTTTGTATACCGCCAGACTTTTATTTAAAACTGTATTCCTTTCTCTCGTTTCGTCCACCACTCCAAGCAAAAAAAAATCTCCAGTCGGTACGCAATGAATCTTGGGAAAGGGTGGGCTGAGAAGGATACATTGGACCTGACTCTCAAAAAAGGAGAACATATTTGTGGGCTGTAATTGGAGAAGTCTTTAAATATGGACAGCCTTCGGCACATCATTGTGATGYAATCGGCCGACAAATTTGACCTCGGAAGGATGCAGCACCTACATTTGGACACAGCTCTAGCTTGCTGATTAGAGGTGCAGCAACAAAAAAGGACCACGTAAATCAGTTGGCGGGCGCCACATTCCGAATGTTGTTCAGGYTATTTAAACAGGTGCTGGTTCTAAATAAATAAATGATGCTAAGCCTGACTGGGGGGGCAGGGTAATGACACACTGGAGGAAACCCTGGTGGAGTAAAGTTGTTCATGTGAGGAGCATCCATTTCCTTCTGGCTACACGTTCCTGGGGATGTTGTAGGACATGGACAGCGGCGGCGCGCTGGGGCTGGCRCCTGTAGGGGAGATGATCTCAGGCGGGTACGGCTGCAGGCCTCCCTGCCTGTTCTCCAGCAGCTTGCAGACGATGACTCTGCAGAAGTCCTCGTTGTGTCTATGACAGTGGTCCAGCAGCTGGCGGACCCTGGCGGTGCGTGTCAGCTGGTTGGTGATCTGTTCGTAATCCTCTTGCATGATCATGTTGCGGGCGACCAGCGCGTCCAAACTCTGGTTCAGACAGGCATCTGTCATCTGGGAGACGATGTTCTCACGGCGGGTGGCGATCCACTGGGCGATGGGACCTTGAGAAGGGGGGGAGTGTTGAACTGGTGAAGTGTTCCCAACTGCAAGAGAAGAAATGTAGAGACTTAAAATTTAGAAATAAAATAAAATTAACAAATAAAAAACACAACAATGTCTTTTTAATTTGAGGAGGTTCATTAAGAAGCACATCAAGGCCCTGCAGTCCCCTTCACTAGACCTGTGGCTGAAATGAYTAGTTCATGTTCGATATATCTGACCGGGATAATTCACTGTGGAATGTTAAATTACATTAATGCAGACATGAATGAAATATTGACAAGAGGGAAAACAAATTTTGTGCTCTGTGCTGCATCTCATGTTTTGTTCTGGAGCTACACTGACAAAACTTTAACTTCCTGTTGGATCATGTGACAGAAGAGCTGGAAAGTTTGTTCTTTTATTTTTAATCCCAGACAGAGAACTGGAGTCAGAGGATCAATGTCTGAGTCACAGTTCACCGCAGCATTAAAGAAGACATTTCCTGCTTTTAAATCCTTCAGATGGGGTCTTTATAAAGTGGAACTACAAAGCTTTGGTTTGAATTCCTCCTTATTCTAACTTTACCAGCTCCTCTTTCACCACTTTTCTGTTGTGTGTCTCAAAGAAGCTGATTTTGTTACTGTTCCTTTAAGAYACTTCAAGCCCTGCCCCCCTCTGGCCTCCAGACCTGTCCACTTCGATTTGAGAGAAGGGGTTACTTTTMTTGCTTGCAGAAAAGTTTTATTTACAATTTAAAGAAAAYGTGAACAACAGAAGACTTRTCCATACAGCCTGWTGGAGCCAGAGTCTGACCCAGAACCATAGAATTAAGAGAAGGAAATTGTAGTTGGTAAGTCCAGATGTTATATGGTAATTCTGTCACAGATTATTTGACGTAATAGTTCAGAAAACATTATAGAAAACAAAGATGACTGAACAGATTGAAAAATCTGACTCAAACAGAACATAAATATCTTTTTAGCACCAGGAGARACTAAAGTCAACTTTTCTGCTTCCTAAAGATTCCAAGTCCAAAAAAAATGTATTGAACAGCTAAAAAAGTGGATTTTGCAGGATATGTTTCCATTAACTTAAAGTCTTTAATCAAAAATTAATTACAATAATTAATATAATGACTAAAAGAGAAATTAAAATACAGAGACAAATCAAATATTGTGAAAAAAACTGCAAAATATTACAATCTTTTTTTTGGTCAGATCACCCAGCTCTAACCTCACTTATACTTGGACTCTGAAAAAATGAGAACTGCAGTCTTCTGAAGTCATTACTGTCTTGAAGCTGCAACACGTTTGCACTAATCCAATTAGAATCCCTAGTCCTGTTCAACAGCTACCCATCTCAAGAACCACAGTCCAGAAAGAACATCACTTCATTTTAATATGCTCTGTATCATCTGTAAATATTTAAAATGACATGGCTTTCATTGGAGGAGTACGAGGAGTTTGTGTGCCTGAATGTTCCTAGCAGCCATATTGTCAGGGGTAAATGTACTCCTGGTAGGGTAACTGGAGCTAAAGAGATTGAAGAGCTGGCTGTGTAAAGAGATGTCTGGGCCTCCATGCTGCTGCCCCTGTGATCCGACACCAAAACAGGCAACAGAAAATGGATAGAAAGATGAAAAAATACACTGCCCAACCAAAAAACAAGTGTCCACCTGGATGTAACTAAGGTCTTTGATGTGGGGTTACTGCCGGTGGTCAGGTCTAGGTTTAGCAACACTTTGTGCTCAAAGAATGAGGTCAGCTGACTACCTGAATATACTGAATGACCAGGTTATTCCATCAATGGACTGTTTCTTCTCTGATGGCACGGCCATATTCCAAGATGACAATGCCAGGATTCATGGGTCTGGAATTGTGAAAGAGTGATTCAGGGAGCATGAGACATCATTTTCACACATGGATTGGCTCCATGGCCCACAACCTGCAGGAGGGGCCATACGAGTCAGGTGCATGATGCCATGGGCAGTAGCCAAAGGCGGGGATCTTGGCGCTCTGACCTTGGCCTACCAAAACTGGCTCTTGGGACATGGAATGTCACCTCTCTGGTGGGGAAGGAGCCTGAGCTTGTGCGTAAGGTTGAGAGGTACTGGCTAGATATACAGTGGTTTGCAAAAGTATTCATACCCCTTGAACTTTTCCATATTTTGTCACATTACAACCACAAACATAAATATATTTCACTGG